TTGTATTTATTTTTGTGTGTGTGTGTGTGTGTGTGTGTATGTGTGTGTGTGTGTGTGGCCAGCTCAGCCCACCAGGGGGCGGGCCTGGCTGGCATGTGGTGCTGGGGGATTGAACCGTGGTCCCTGTGCTTTACTAAGCTTGTTCTAAGTAGGTGCTTTAGACCACTGAGCCATCTCACCAGCCCCCCTAAATCCTTTCTTGTTTCTTACTGAGTGTAGCCTCACACTGTTCTAACTGTCTTATGCCATGAGAACTTCAGATGCAGGTTCCTTCTGCAGCTTGGGAGGCAGAATGAGAGGCAGTGTCAGTGTGGCCTGGCGCGCGCAGAGAGCAGCGCAGCTCCTGCCGTCCTCAGATCTGGATACTGGTCCCCCCGCTTAAACACATTTTTCTGAGTATGCCTGATCTTGTATCCCTTCTGTCTCCAAGTGCAGGCTGTCGTACAGTTGTTTGTTTTTGGTCTTTTTTGATTTTACTGTATTTTTTGGTTGAATGTTTTTTTAATCCCTAAATTAAAAAATAAACATTTTTTTTTTTTTTTTTTTTTTTTTAAGGGGAGGTTTAGTTTTTGGTTTTGGTGCTGAGGACCAAACCCAGGGCTTCCAGCTTGCTAGGCAAGTGTTCTAGCGCTGAGCCGTATCCCCAGCCCCTAACCTGTTACAGAGTTTAACTAAAACTGACCGTTGATGCTATCCAAGGTGCTTGGTGGTACCATCTTGATATTCATATTAGTGTTCTATTTCATTGAAAACTGGCTTTGATGTTAATTTATTTTTTTCTTCACTTTATGTATATGGTTCTGAGTCTCACTACACAGCTCAGACTTGTGGTGATCCTCCTGTTTTCAGCCACTCCAGCTCTGGGATTACAGGCATGTGCCACCACTCTGGACTCTGTTGCAGGCTCAGCATGCCCCGAGGGTGGGGCTGTGCAGCCTGTGGGACCAGGATCGAACCCAGGATCAAACTTGGCAAAGCAGGCACTTAGTCAGCAGAGCTATCTCACCAGCCTTTTATTTATTTATTTAAAAAAATTTTTTTTTTTGGTGTGGCCAGCTCAGCCCACCAGGGGGCAGGGCTGGCTGGCATGTGGTGCTGGGGGGTTGAACCGTGCGTGGTCCCTGTGCTTTGCTTAGCTTAGCTTGTTCTAAGTAGGTGCTTTAGACCACTGAGCCATCTCACCAGCCCCTCACCAGCCTTTTGATGTTAATTTAAACATGTGTTATATCCATTTTTCCAGTTTTAAATTAGTATTATGATTTGTGAGTTATTTTTTGATAATGTTTAATACTGTTATTTGGATAATTTAATTGTTGCTAATTTTTCCAATTCACATGCTAAATTGAATCAATATATTTTTTAGATCCATATGTCAAACTTCTCCTTGATGCTATGAAACACTCAGGTTGGTAAGTAAATTTTATGAAAATGCTTTTCTATATTCTGGCTGCCAAAACCAAAAATTTAAAATATCAGTGCTTAAAAAAAAAAAAAAAAAAAAAAAATCAGTGCCTCCTAAAGAGTTCTCACTTTGGGCCATCAAGCCTTTTCTATGGGGTACATAGTGATTCTCTCCAGGTAGGCCTTGTTCTCCTTCGCTGTCTTTGGCTTTATAAAGTCTGGCTGTACTATTCAACTTGGATATTAGTAAAGATAGTACTCAAACTCTTTTGTATCAATACCAAACCTAGCCTTTGGGCATTGTCCATAAGTGAGAAGAAATCTTAGTTTGGTATATAGCAGTCTTCCAGATGTTAACTTTGGCTGGGGAGATGGCTCAGTGGAATAAGCGCTTCCCTGGCAAGCGCAAGGACCTGAGTTCAATCCCTGGTTCCACAAAAAAAAAAAAAAAAAAAAAGAACCAGATGTTAACTTTAAGGGTATTGGAGGAAGTTACCTCTGGTGCATTATTTATTTATTTATTTTGATACAGGGTCTTGCTACACAGTTCAGACTCATAGTGATCCTCCCGTTTCATCCTCCCCAGTACTGGGATTAGAGGCACATGTAACTCAGCACGCCCAGTTTCAGGGCTGGCAAGGCACGTCCATGGAGCTGGGGCCAGCAAGGCATGTGGTACTGGGGATCAAACCTGAGTCCTTGCACTTGCCAGACAGGTGCTTATGCCACCGAGCTATCTCCCCAGCCCTCTGGTGCACTTTTTAACATTCTGGCCCAAGAGCCAGAACTTCAGTGTATTTATGATATAGTCTCTCTCTCTCTCTCTTTTTTTTTTTTTTTTGCTCCCTAGCCCTCCCTGAGGGTGGGGCTCATGTGGCATATGGTGCTGTGGTACCAGGGATCGAAATGTGGTCCCCTGTGCCTGCCTAAGCCTGCCTAAGGAGGTGCCTTAGATCGCTGAGCTATCCCGCTGACCCCACGATATAGTCTTAATCAGCTGACCAGAGGGTTTATGTAATCTTACATAGACTCTGAAGTGGGATGAATTTTTCAGTCTCCCTGTTTTGCACACAAGAAACACCTGAGTCCTGAGGTGCTTTCCCTGGGTTCAGAGGTGTCGTGGTGGATGGGATCTACTGTATCCGAACGGTCTCCTGCCCCTGGCTCACAGCTGTTCCCTATATACACAGTTCTCCTGGACATTGTCTCTTTAATCTGTTCTTACCTTTTAGTGCTATTAACAAAGAAAGGCACTTCTCTTGTGAAGACTGTAATGGAAATGTCAGTGGAGGTTTTGATGCTTCCTCGTCTCAGGTAGGCTTGTTTGCCATTGATCTTCTTCCTTTCGGTCCTTTCTCCTGATACTTGCTGAGCACCTTCCACTTGCTGGGCATTCTGTTTGGTAGGCTTTATTTATGACTCAGAAACAGTGAATTCGTCATGATCCTCACACTTAATTTCATACTATAGGAGATAAGACATGAATGCAGCCCTAAACTGAGGCACATTAAACTATGTCAGATGTTCTTGTTGCATTATTTTTCTTGTTGGTATAACAAGTATCTGAGCTGGGGAGATAGCTCTGTGGTCTAAGCGCTTGCCTGGCAAGCACTAAGCCCTGGGTTTTATTCCTGGTGCCGCATGCTGTGCCAGCCTCAGGTCCCTGGGTTTACTGTGCCAGCCCTAAAACTGGGTATGGTGGTGCCTGCCTATAATCCCAGTGCTGGGAGTCTGAGACAGGAGGATCGCTAGGAGTCGGAGCTGCCAAGCTGTGTAGTGAGACCCTGTACCAAATATAAATAAATGATAAAAATGCCCCCAGATAGATGAGGTAACCAACTTATAATGAGGAAAGGTTTATTTTGGGTCAAGGTTTCAATCTATTCATTGATTACTTGGCCTCACTGCCTTTGAGATCTGGGCTGAGGCAGGACATCATGGTAGGAATGCAAGGAAGACACTTGGCTCACGGGAAGCGAAAAAGAAACAGGAGGGGGTTGGGGCTCCAGTATCCCCTTCAGGAGCATGCTCCAGCAGTGACTTTATTTCTTAAAGTTTCCCCACCCCTAGGAGTGGTACCGATTGGGGACTGAGCCTTCAGTCTGTTGGCCTTTGGGGAACATTCAGGATCCACACTAAGTTTTGGTTAGCACAGTGGAACATGGTGTGGAATGGCACAGTACTGGGTTGAGAGACACCCACAGGTTAATCTAGAGGATAGGGAGCCCTTAGGGGCGAGCAGGGAAGACAGAGACTGTGGCCCTTTGCCCCGCAGTGGCATAAGCAGGAGTGGCATGCTGAGAAATGATGAGGCACATTAGGGAATGGCGTATTATCTGGTTTAGCTGGAGGGCAGGTACACATGGAAGGTGAGGGGAGCAGGATTGGGAAGAAGGATGAGCCGGATGGTGGAAGCTGTGAATGCTGAGGGAAAGGACTAGAGCTCTGTGTGGTGTGATATGATACCGCCAGCAAAAGTTTCCAGCTCTGGGGAGGAAACTTTTTCATCTGTACAATATGGGTAACAATCATATCTGATGGAATGATTAGGAGAATGAAATGAGATGTTTTGTAAGGGTATCATCATGGTGACTGGCTTTCATGAACAGTCTATAAATTTGTTAGTAATTTTTAGTCCTTGGGAGGTTTTTTTTTTTTTTAATTTTAGACAACCAAAAACAATAAACAGGCTAGTAGGACAGTAGTAGTAATCAATACTTTGCATATAGTTATCTTTGTAGTGGTTATTCAGAGTATAAAATATTGACAAGAAATAGTGTCCAAGGGGCTGGGGAGATAGCCCAGTATCTTATTCAGTAGAATAAGTGCTTCCCTGGCAAGCACAAGGGCCTGAGTTCAATCCCTGGTTCCACCAAAAAAAAAAAAAAAAAAAAAAAAAAAAGAAATATTGTCCAAACAGTCGTAGCTCAAAACTTTCTTTGCAATGAACTAAGAGAAGCTAGTTCATTGTACACATGGAAGGTATCTTGTGTATATATCTGATTTTTCTTTTCCCGCTCAGAAAGTTTTGGCAGGGTCTTAGAAGTGACAGATGGGTTATATCACACAATGATGGCAAATGAAGATAAATATTCCCAATTAGAATATACAATTTGCATTTAACACATTTAGCTTTTTCCTCCTGGGGAATTTTCATATGTATTTCAGTTATTTATAACTAATTTCTAGTAATGATGGAAAAATCAGTATGCTATGACAGGAGAAGTCTGAGTTTTGGAGTTAGAGAGACTTGAGTTCAAATCCTACTTCCTCTGCTTGCTTGCTGTGGGGCTTGGACAAGTTATTTTTCGTATTCTCAGTTTCCTCATGTGTAAATTGATAATCACAATTCTGATCTCAAAATGACTCTTGGCACGTTTGCCTGCTGTCTTGTCCCTGGGGTTAAATAGAGTAGACAGTTTGAGTTTTCCTTTTCACTATCAGGGTGTTGAACAGTTAAACATTCTCAACTTTTATTTATTTATTTATTAAAAATTATTTTTATTTTTATTTATGTGTGTGTGTGTGTGTGTGTGTGTGTGTGTGTCCAGCTCAGCCCACCAGGGGTGGGGCTGACTGGCATGTGGTGCTGGGGGATTGAACCGCGGTCCCTGTGCTTTACTTAGCTTAGTTTGTTCTAAATAGGTGTTTTAGACCACTGAGCCATCTCACCAGCCCCTTGAATTAAAATTTTGATGGTGAAGTCTCTATTTCTATAGGAGAGTAAAAATCATACGTGCACACTTTGAAATTGGTGTAACTACTACCTCGACTTTAGAAGTAGAGCATTATTGGGCTGGGGAGGCAGCGGAGCATCTTAAGCGCCTGCCTGGTATGCTCAAGGTCCTGAGTTCGATCCCTGGTACCATTATAAAAAAAAGTAGAGCATTACCAGAACTTCAGAAACTCTGTGCTTCTCTTGAAATCTATATTTCTCCTTTATTCTAACTTCTGTGGAAAGCAGTCCCTACTTTTCTGAGTGGTTTCGTGTCCATATATACAGTCCAGTAATACATTATTTAGGTGTTTGCTTTTGTGCTTTATATATGTAATAATTTATAGTTTTATGAAATCACACAATAGATAATTCCCACAAATTATTTTTTTTTCCAACATTATTTTTGAAATTCTTCCATGTTGTGCTATGAATCTCTTTTGGCTAGTTTCTCTGTTGTGTACTGTTCCAGTGTGTGTTTATATTATAGTTTATCCTATGTGATATTTGTTATTTTCAACTTTGTTATTATCAATACTGCTGCTATGAACCTCCTCCTCCTCTTCTTTCTCCTCCTTCTTCTTTTTTAGTTGACAAGAACTCACTGTAGTTCAGGATGGCCATGAACTCACTTTGTAGCCCAGGCTGGCCTGAAACACTAAGTGATCCTCCTGCCTCAGCCTCCCGAGTGCTGGGATCACAGGCGTGTGCCGCCATGCCTGGTGCTGTGAATGTTCTTGACTTTCTGTCCTAGTGCAAGTTCGCAAGGCTTTCCCCCGGCCACAGAGCAGAATTGCCAGGGCAAAGAGTGTCCGCACATTTTCTGGTAATGCCAACCACGACCTTCCTGCGGTCTCCAGTATGTAGCACTCTTCTGGTGGCCCCTTTGGTGGCTTATCTTCCTTTTCCAACTGTTGAGTGTTGAAGTCCCTTCATCTTTGGCATTAGGTACCCCCTTTTTTCTTTCTTTAGAGTCTACCAAAGGAACCTCATTAATTTTTGTAGGTTACAACTTTTTGAACTCTACATCCTTAGATCCGAGTACTTAACACTTCGTCTTGGTCTTAAAGGTACTGTGAACCTGACACGTCCAAGTCCAGATTCATGCCTTTTGTCCCCCACCACATGGCCTTTAGTCTTGCATATCTCGCTGAGTGTTTCCACCGTCCAGCCTGTTACTCACGCCAGAAGTTTGTAGGTATTTTGGCTTCCTTCCGCACTTTCTATCACTACGTTTTTCCAGTTTGCTTCCTGAATTTCTCTTTCAGCTCCCACCGTTCTAGCTCAAGTTCCTCACCCTCTGTCTCTTGCCCAGAGCACTTCATTAGCCTTCAGCTAGTTTCTGTGCAACCAGTTCTGGTCTGCTTATTCCTCTGACGGGAGCTGTAAGGATAAAGCAGCACAGAATAGAAGCACTCCCCTATATCAGTGTTGCCATGAGGCTGGAGACAGGGCCTGTGGTGACTGGGGCCTGCCGGCCTTGCCAGTCCTAGCTTGCACCCACCACCCAAACTGTGCTTTGGTATTTGGCCCCGGGTCAGCCTCTTGAAGATTCTGTTCTTTTGACTGTCCCTGCCCTTTATGTATGTGGGGATCAGCCACTTTACCATTGCTGGGACAAAATACCCGACACCTGAGATGTGAAGGAGAAGCGCTTTATTTCTGGCTTATAGAAGGAGGATGGTGGAGGGCCACTGTGGAGGGAAGGGCTGCCAGGCACATAGAAAGGGAGGAGCCAGGTGTGAGAACACACCTCCTGAGGCAGGCCCCCAGTGGCCCAGCCATTCTGACGGTGCCCACCTCTGAATATAAGGCTTTGAGCACAGAAAAGATCTCCAATGTAACACTATTGTTCTTTGTCTCAGACCTCCCTTCTCCTCCTCTCCTCACATGTAACTCCCATTCAGCTGTTGGGTCTCAGTGTAAAATGCCTAACACAGAGGAGCCTTTCCTGCTCCCCAGACCAGGTCAGGCAGCCGGTCATATTCTTCATGGCAGTTGACATGGTGTGTGTCTCAACGTTTGTGCCAATATTTGACTAATTTTTGTCTCCATTAGATTATAAATTACTATCAAGCCTTAATAAGTATCAGTTGAATAAATTAATGTTGAATAAATGAATATAAAATATCTAGCACATGTCCCAGTGTCTGGCACCTAGTCAGTACACAGTTAATGGCAGCTGCCATTGTTAGAATCCCTCCTGTCTTTCTTGTCCTCTTAGGGTCCTGCTCAGCGTGCTTTTGGCTTTTTGCATTTCTTTCCAAAAGTCTTTCAGAGGATTTTTCCTAGCTCTTTTTCTTAATCTTGTAGAATGAGGACAATGATAGTCATTGTCCTACTCAGAGACTTGCTGAGAAGTATTTTACAGGTAGTCAGTCTCATTTAATTCTCAGTTCTATGAAGTAGGTACTGTTAATTGTTTCCTTTTATAGTTGAGGAAACAGAACACAGATAGAAAGTTACCTGAGGTTATCAAATGCCTTACTCACTTTCCACTTTGCTAGGGCAAACGTACCTGACAGCCACAATTAAAGGAGTTTATTCCAGCTCACAATTTGCAGAGCTTTCAATCCGTAGTCAGCTGACTCCAAGGCAGGGTGGTTTAGCTCAGAGAGCAAAGCAAGGAGGCAGAGAGGGAGATACCCGTGGCAGGCCACACCTGCAGTGACGACCCTCCTCTTCTGACTGGATCCTCCTCAGCTGACTGGATCCCGCTGAGTAACAGCTGGTCAGCTGTGAGCCACTGTAATCCAGTCACCTTCCAGAAGCCCACTTTGGTGCACAGGAGGCTTGGGGGGGACATCTAGATACATACCGTAACACCAAGTTAGCAAGGACTGGAGCTGGTTTTTCAACCTGTCTGCTTCATTTCAAAGCCTACTCTTCTAACTTTCCTAATGTGTAGTCCAAGACTGGTGCAGTCAGCTAAGGGAGGCTGGCATGTGACTAAATGTTCTTAACTTTGTGCCATTGTGGCCCAAAGGGAAGGGAGAAGATCGTCATTGGGAAGGCTGACAGAGCATGTGTAGTTAGCACTAGACTTGACCAGTAGGCATGATATGGGAAATGATGTAGGACCTCCAGATATGATATAAGGGAAATACTGTAACTTCCAACCTGTTAGATATCCAATTTGTAGAGTTGGTGTTCCCCAAAATTGGAGAATAAGTTCTAAGGAATAGCGGAGTTAGTAGGAAATATTTATTGAGGGAGGAAAGCTACAGCAGGAGGGCTCCTAGTGGGTTGCTGAGGACCCTCCTTCTCAGGGGAAGTTTTAAAGAGCACAACCACGTGGGTACAACCTGGGTCACAGCTCTCAACTGATAAGATTATAAGTATAGCTGCTTAGGTACTATTGCTTTAGTGGTGAAGCAGGTCACATAGCAAGTGCACGTGAAAAGTACAAAGAACCTTTTAGACGGGGATGAGTTGGAGGGTCTTGCTCACTGTCTTAGTTACTTTTCTCTCATTGCTGAGACAAAATACCCCAACACACAAAATTAAGGAAGAAAAGTGTCTTGATTATTTTTCTCTTGTTTCTGGGACAAAAAGGAAAGGTTTATTTAGCTCATAGTTAGTGGAGGTCTCAGTTCACACTCTGCTGGCTCCAAGGCAGACTGGCACATGGCAGAGGGCAGTAGTTCATGGTGGTGGAAAACGGCAAAGAGCAAAGGGAGGAGATGCAGCTTTGGCTTCCAGAAGTCTGTCTCCCTCCCTTCCACACTGACTGCAAAGACTGGAGCTCCTCTGAGGAAGTGGCGCCCTTCAGCCTTTTTCAGTTCCCTTTTTATATCCTTTTTGCACTGAGTCACTCTGAGGTGGGCCCTCCAGGCCCTAGGGTATGGAGTAGCTGGGCCACTTAGCTAAGCTTTTAACTTCTCTAGTTGATGCAATGTATTGACCACTGTAGCAAGGTTTACTTAGCTCACAGTTTGTGGAAGTTTCAGTCCATAATCAGCTGGTGCCGAGGCAGGGTGGTGTGGCACAGGGGCACAGAAGACAGCAAAAGGCAGGGAGAGCAAGCTTCTTTTCCTTTCTTATATTGTAAGCAGGCTCCCTCCCTGTGAGGCAAGTGTAGCACTCACACCATGTCTGTGTCCTCCTCTTGCACAGGATGAGGCTGTTTACAAAGGAACCCCACATACTTGTTGAGTCTCTTAGCCTAAACTTCTCAAGTTGACACCATGTATCAACCATAACAGTTCTGGAGATGACATCATGTCTGTCTAGACTTTCTTAGACCATGTGTTGCCCCTCAGCCCAGGCCTGGTTGTTCTGTCTTTCTCCTGATGCCTGAACTCTAACAGATGCTCCTCTGGCCACAGTTACAGTGAGTTCTCATTCTTGCCTGGCTCAGCCATGCCTCACTGTCTATAGTATTTCTACCTCTGTGATCTATAACAGGCAGAGGTGGGACTGACGGAGAAGGCTGGGTGGGGGCATCTCAAGCAGATGAACTTGTGAGAAAGAAGGTAGAATCTGTAAGATGAAAGCAAAGTTTAGAAATAACCAGATTTCTCTTAATTTGGTGTCTTTTAGATTGTTTTATGCCAGAATAATATCCGTAATCAGGCCCACATGAACCGAGTGGTCACCCACGAGCTCATTCATGCGTTCGATCACTGCCGTGCTCATGTCAACTGGTTCACCAGTGTCAGACATTTGGCATGCTCAGAGGTGAGTTGTATTGTAAAAGGCATTGATTTCCCCCCAGAATAGTCTGTGTATTAAAGTATAATATATTTAATGTATTTTCCTCTTATTGGCTCACCTTCATCTTTTCTATTTTTAACTACTATTGAATATAATTTTTGAGATACAAGCAGAGAAATTTTAAGTATATATTAATTGCTGGATGGATGAATGGGTTGGTTTTTTGAGACAGGGTCTCACTTTATAATCTAAGCTGGCCTTGAACTTGTGACCCTCAGTCTTAGAGTGCTGAGGTTGTAGGCATATGCCACCATGCCCAGCAGTACGTAGTTTTAGAATTGTCTTAAACATAATTTTTAATTATACTGAAGACTAATTTTAAATGTAATAATAAATTTCTTGCTATGGAATAAGTTACATAATATTAAAAATAATATTGAACATTTACTGAGGGCTGTGTATCAAACATTATTTTCTCTATGTGATTTATTTCTTAATTTTTACAACAACATATCAAGAAAGATACTATTATTACCCTTGCTTTGTGTATGTGAGAGTGAAGTGCATCCTTGGATTCCATAGCCAGTGAGTGGCAGAGACAGGGTGACAACCAGTGTTCTTACCAGGTCTGAAGTCCCTTTGTCTTTGGGTGTTACGCTGCCCATATTTTCTCACTCTGCACACTAACTTATTTTCTTTGAAATTTCCTTTAATTGTTAGGAGTACTGAACATTGTTGCACATTCTTGATTTTTATTTTAAATTAATCATTTCTTATTAAATTATAGTTTATCATTACTAGTTTGCTGTGTTGCATTCCATAGGTAAGTCTTTGCTTGCCTTAGAGTAAAAAGTTTAGTTTAAAAAATATGACATAAAATATATATTTATTACTAAGCACTTTGGATTGCTTTCTGGTATATGCATATATCAGCTCCTAGAGAGACATATATATTTCATATTTGCATTTCATTAGTTGAGTGCATTAGGATGAAAAAGTTAAAAGGTAATGTACGTCTCAAGCTTATACTGTATAATTTATTTTCTCTTTCCCTTGATTAACGAGTGACACTGCTGCCCCTAATTATAATTCCTATTATTTGGAAAGTAGACGAAAACTTGAATTTTTAAATAGGTCTGTCTCTTGGGTGTTAGAAGAATTACTGCATGTTAGCCAGTTAAAGTGTGTTAAGTACCTTGAAAGCCTCAGAGCCAGGCCGTGTTATTGTAGCAAGAACAAGAAGTAGGTCATTGTCTTCGTGGTGAGTTAGCAGAAGTGTGGCCAGAGGCCATGCACTCCACGTGCATAGTTTAATCTGTCATGCACATAGCATGACAGGTTTGGAACATTGTTCTTAGTGCTTTTTCTTTTTCAATGTATTTTAGGACAGGGTCTAAAGGGTCTCACTACACAGATCAGACTCGTGATCTTCCTGTTTTCAGCCTCCCAAGTGCTGGGATTACAGGTGTGTGCCGCCACACCCAGTCTCACCTGCGCTCTGGGGGTGGGGCTGACAGCACGCCAAGGGTTCAGAATCTAACCCTGGTCCTGGGTCTGCCTAAACAGCCACTATTTGGCCGGCCCTTCTTTGTGCTTTTTATCACTTAATTTCCTATAAGAAGTCCAAATCCTGGAAGAGAGCCCTAAAGCAGGTTTGAGGGAGAATCCATGAAAGTTTCAGAGATTAGGGCCAGGACTAGGAATGGATTCATTTGCTCAAAGTGTCTTAGATTAAAAAAAAAAAAAAAAAAGTGTCTTAGATACAAATATATTCAGGTTTTTCTTGCCACTAGGGATTGAGCTCAGGGCCTTTACACCGAGGTACATCTTAGTCCTTTCTGTTTTTAAATTTTGAGACATATTCTTCCTAAATTTCTAGGCTGGGCTTAAACTTGCTGTTCTCCCATTTCAGCTTCCCAGAGTGCTGGGATTGCAGATCTGTAGCACTGTGCATAGCTGATGTACTCAGTTTTGCACTCACATTCAAACTCAGCTTATAAATCTTCGGAAGAACCCTTTCTTGAGGTCTTTTGGTAATTTCTAGAAGCATCTGTACTTTGTAGAGATTAAGGACCCCAACATTGGGGTTCACTTCTGTGTCATGGCTCTCTGGCTCCGGACAGGTCAGTTCTGTCATGTTATAAGGTGAAGTTTAGAAAATTCCTTTTGGGACTACTGTCTAGAATATAAGGAACTAAAAAATAAATCAGGACCCCAGATTTAAAGACCTAATTCAAAACTAGGTGTCTGAAATAGATACCTACCAGATGAAGAAATAGAAATGACACCCTCCTACAAAGGCATATCTTTTGCTCCCCGTCTTTGGACACATAAGAATTGGAGGCAAAGAAATGAGGGTTTGGATACATCTAGAGCTGGCTTGCTCCCTGCAGGGTCAAGATCAACTGTCCCACATAAAAGGAAAAATGTAGAGACTAGCCCTTTCCCACCTTTATTTCTAATTCTCTGGCTCCATCACTTACAGAACCCTGATTCTGCTGTCCTTGTTCCTTGTTCCCTTGGTCTCCCCATAGTCTCACCCAGTGACCACTACTCCTATTACTGGCTATACTTCCCAGAATTTCCAGTGGCCTTTCACTTCCTGCTCTTGGCAGGCATCACTGATCTGTCCCATTGACTCAAAGGCTATGCATTAGCACCTCAGTTAGACCCACTGGCATTGCTTACCGCCAGTGGAGGGGGTAGTGTTATCCTAGTCAGCTCTGCACACATCTGTACCCAGAATCAGGGCCAGGTTTACCCAAAATGGAGACAGATGGTCTTTCAGGAGAGCCTTCTCAGTAGTCCTCCACAATGTGGGGAAAGAAGGGTTGAAGGGAGGATAGGAGAGTGGGGAAAATAATCAGGTGCAGGTACAAATTTCCTACGATGAATGTAATCAGATATCTAAAATGTAACAATAAACTTAATAGAAAAAGAGATTTTCCTTTGGTAGATGATTGGCCTTTTCCCTACCTTCAGTGTGTCTGTCCTTAAAGAAAAAAATTGTATATTGCAGGGCGTTTGCTCATGTGGATCTGCACCTTAATTCTTCATACCTTTCTTCTAATCCTTTGTTATCCAACACTTGTTTGCCTTCCCATTTGATTATCTCCCTATTTCCTATTACCTTTTCTTTTACACTTTATTTATATTTTGTTTCTCGTATAAGAGAAACCATGTGATGTTCAAACTTTTTTTTTTGATATTTAAGTTTGTGTCAGATTTATTTCATTTAACCTTGTGATCATGAGGTATATCCATTTATCTATGAATATCTCGTTTATCCTGTATATGGCAGAGTTGTACTTCACTGTGTATAAATACTGTATTTTCTTTATCTGTTCATTTCCCGCTGGACATGCAGACCACTTCCAAGACTTGGACTTTGTGAGCGCTGCTCTAAGCGCAGGTGTGCATGGGTCACTGTGACGTGATGCCTCTAACTCTTTCAGGAAGATAGCTAGAAAGGGAGGAGCTGGATTGGATGGATTCTTATTTGCAGTTTTTGAGGAATCTCCATATTGAATCTCCTTAGTGGTTGTACTAGTTTACATTCCTACCAACAATGTAGAAGGATTCCTTTTCCTTGAAGCCTCTTCAGCATGTTATTATTCGATTTTTTTTTTTTTTTTTTTTTTTTGTACCAGGAACGAAACTCAGGACCCTGTACTGGCCCGGCAGGCACTATGCTGCTGAGCTACATCCCCAGCCCTGTATCTCTTGTTAATAACCATTCTTGCTGGTGTAAGGCGGTAACTCAGTGTTATTCTAATTTGCATTTTTCTAAAGGACAGCTATGTTGGACTTTTTTTCTCGTATTTATTGGACAGCTGTTCTAAGAAGTGGTCTATTTGTTTCAGTTACCCATTTTTTGATTGGGTCTTTTATTTTGGGGTTTAATTTTTTGAGTTTTTTGTTTTCTAGATATGAGTCCTCTCTCTGAGGAGTAGCTCACAAAACTTTTTTCCTGCTCTGTAGGTGGTCTCCTCATCCTACTGGTTGTATCCTTTGTTGTGCAGAAGCATTTGATACAATTCTATTTGCTGATTGTCCGTATTATTTCTTGTGGCTTTGGGGTTCTGTCTAGAAAGCCTTTACCTATGACTATGTCTTTAAGAGCTGTATTTATGGGGGCTGGGGAGATGGCTCAGTAGAATAAACGCTTGCCTGGCAAGTGCAAGGGCCTGGGTTCAATCTCTGGTTCTGCCAAAAAGAAAAAAAAAAAAAAGCTGTATTTATTTTATCTTTCAGCAGATTAATTGTTTCTGTTTTTACATTTAGATATTTGATTCTGTTTTGTTTTGTTTTGTTTTGTTTTGTTTGTACTGGGAATTGAACTTATGACCTCACACATGCCAGGCAGGCCCTGTGCCACTAAGCTATACTCCCAGCCTTTGAGCCTTTTTATTTTGGTTTAGTGCATTGTTTGATATATGGGTCTAGATTTCAATTTTCTGCAAGTAGATATCCAATTTTCCCAATATCTTTTATTAGAGGGGCTATGGGCTATCTTTCTTCCAGTATATGTTGTTGGCCCTTTGTCAAAGATCAGATAACTGAATGTGTTTGTTTCTGCTTCCTCCATTTTGTTTCTTTGATACACATGTCTGATTTTATGCCAATACTATCTCCTTCCTTCCTTCCTTCCTTCCTTCCTTCCTTCCTTCCTTCCTTCCTTCCTTCCTTCTTCCTCTTTTTTTTTTCAGAACTAGGGATTGAACTCAGGCTCTTGTGCTTGCCAGGGAAGCGCTTATTCCACTGAACCATCACCCTAGCCCCCTTCCTTTCTTCTTTCTTCGTTCATTCGTTCGTTTTTTTGAGACAGGGTCTCGGGTATGCAGTCCAGGTTGACTTTGAGCTCACTTTGTAGTTCAGGCTGGTCTCAAACTCACAGTGATCCTCCTGCCTGAGCCTCAGCTGCAATTACAAGTGTGTGTCACCATGCCCTGCCTACCATGTGTTTCTTTATCACTATAGCTTTGTAATAACTTCAGATCAGGGATTATGGTACTTCCTGTTGCTGTTACTCAGAGTTGCTTTTGGTATTCTAGGTCTCTTCTGGTTGCATATGAATGTTTGGATTGTTTTTTCTAGATCTATAAAGAATGCTGTAGGTATTTTGCTTGGGGTTGTGTTAAATCTATAAGTCAATTTTGGAGATACACCATTTTTTAAAAAAAATTTATGTATGTATGTATGTATGTGTGTATGTGTGTATGTGGCCAGCTCAGCCCACCAGGGGGCGGGACTGGCTGGCATGTGGTGCTGGGGGATTGAACCGCGGTCCCTGTGCTTTGCTAAGCTTGTTCTAAGTAGGTGCTTTAGACCACTGAGCCATCTCACCAGCCCTAAAGGTACCTAAATCTTTTTTTTTTTTTTTTTTTTTTTTTTTGCAGAACTGGGGATTGAGCTCAGGCCCTTGCACTTGCCAGGCAAGTGCTTGTTTTACTGAGCCATCTCCCCATCCCCAGATACATCATTTTGACTGTATTAGTTCCACCTATCCAGGAACATGGGACATCCTTACATTTCCTGATACCTTCTTCATTTTCCTTTTCCAGAAGGGTGTAATTTTTGTTGTGATTGTCTTTCAGCAATCATTTAGCATAGTCCTTGGATGTTTGCTCTTATTATCAACAGTGTTTAAAAGTTCTTTAAAAGTATTATACATACTGCGTTCTTGGAAAAATGTGCTAATATTATATCCTTTTCCAGTTTTACAACATCAGTTGATGTAAGGATATAGGGCCTGAGCGTCATTTCTTTTCATTTGCCTTCTGTCTTGCAGGTTCGTGCTGCAAACCTCAGTGGAGACTGCTCGCTTGTAAATGAAATATTCAGGTTGCATTTTGGATTAAAACGACACCATCAGGTAAAAACTAACATGAAATCACCTTCCTCAAGAGTGTTTTAAGTGGAAATAATGAGTAAGAAATGAAGTACATTTACTGTTTGACCTTTGAAAGGATCATGTATATGAAAAGAATGCAAAATGTGTACCATTTAGGCCCCTTAGATAGAATTCATGAGAAGAATGCAAAATGTGTGCCATTTAGGCCCCTTAGATAGAATTTCATTTTATTTTATAATTATGCACAAGCTGTGTGAGTGACTGGGAGATTTTATTTCATTTTTTTTTTAAGAGCAGAATTTATTTATTGGGGGAAAAGAAAGTTTCTGTCAGAGAGGGAGAGGAACAGAAAGGGGACCTGAGTCAGTTGCCCTGGTATCTGTCTTTTCTAGAATTTTTAAAGAACAAAACCACAAGGTGAGGTGGGTGTAAAGTGGGAAACATGGGAACTACCTAGGTGGGCATGAGGTAGGACAAAACTATGGTCAACCAATAAGATTACAAGAATAATTGCTCAGATAAAATTGATTAACTCAGGGTCAAATGGGGAAGTGAGTCATGTAGCAAGTGGAGACTGGGAGATTTTAGTAGGGAGGATGTAAGGATCTTGTCTCTGAGACGCTTTTGGATGGGGCTAGATGAGGAATGGAAGTGAGATCACAGCCTGTCCTTTATCCAGCAGTCCTGCTTCTCTGCTTGGAAAATACCACAGTGTCCTGGAGATAGGAAACATAATTCTTTTCAGAACAGAGACTGCCTCGCAGCATAGGCCAATGGCTATGTGTCTATGCGCCTTGAAAGGCTGTGTGACTTGATAGAAAGGCTTTGGATTGGCACAGACTTGGCCATGGTGAGGTGAACTGAGTGGACTTTCTGAACAAAGCTGAATAAACAAAGAAGAAAGCTACAAGTCAAGACTATCCTCCCAGAAAGCCTTTAAGACCCACAGTGATGGGCCTGGGAAGAGGTATCGTAGAGCTTGTGAGTTGACAATGTGAGCGGTGCTGCGCAGCACCACGGTCTCTGGTCCATACCTTAGAGGAAGACTGGGCAGAGGTGTCCTGTATTGGAGCTTGCTGGGCACGTTGTGAAATCCAGCAGCGTCAGGAGAGCAGTTTCAGTCAGATGCCAGAAAGATAAGCTTGGGATATCATGTGGGCCTTTGGTTCTCTAGACAAGAGAGTGACCCCACTCCAGGGTGCAGGTGGAGAGAGACAGCAAATGAAGGAGAGAAATGGCGAACCTAGTGCATGGCAGTTGGGAGAGGCCTGCTGCTGCCTGCTGGGGTGATTCTCTCCCTTAGTCACCTTAGTGAGACGATGCTGGCTTGTCTTGGCCACGTGTCTCTCTGCCCTCAGATTTCTCCAGTTCTGTGTCTCTGGCTCATAGTAGAGAAGAGAGAAGCAGGGTGTTTATCAGCGCACCCTGAGAATTCATAGTACGATAACGTGATTAAAGCTCAGGGTCTGGGGCTCACGGTGTTCGGAAGAGAAGTCTCTACTCTTTTTGCTGTTGAGTAGCAGCAGGCGGAAATAAGTAGAACTAGAATATGATTGAAAATATGAGGAGGTAGGAGAATCTAGCTGAGGGAAGAGTCTCGGAACACGGGGTCCTTGCTTCTGAGCCCAAGAGACGCAAACACCAGGTGCTGTGACAGCTGCAAGACCGCACAGTTTTCTTTTTATTTTCACAAAAATGTTTTACATCTGGACAAAAGTAAAATTGAACTGTGGCCTGCACTTTGGTCTCCTGACCGTTTGGCTCCAGGAGACAGATTTTTGGCTCTGTTTCCTGTTCCCCGGGAGGGAGCCGTTTCTTTTCATTTTGGCACTTGCTGTTCTGGCTCCATATGGTTCTTCCTTTCCTTGTTCTCTTATTCCTGGGATTGATTTTTAAAGTTAATATTGGGTGTAACCGAGGCTTGTCTTCTGGTGCTTGTGAGTCTGTAGCTCGACGCACTGAGCAGGCTGAACCAAAACTGCGGAAACTTGGAACACATCGGTGACTGTCAGGATGTGCGGTCCTCAAAACCAGTGTTGGCTTTTTTGAGAAAAGATCAAATTGTTTGCTTTTAAATTTTAGTTTAGACCTAGGGAGAAATAAGTGGATTAAAAACTCTTCAAGATTTGGAATGACAGTCTTATACTTCTTAAATATTTAAGTTGAACTGTTGAGAAATTCTAGCCTATGATTATATAATACTGTTTTCTTAGGATTAGAACTTTAAGAGCTATGCAGGAAACATTCAGGACAAGAGTTGCTTATTTATCTTTTTGTGGTACTGGGGATTAAAACCAGGACCTTTGCACCGAGCTATGTCCCCAGCCCTTTTTTATTTTTTATTTCTGAATTGTTCTCACTAAGGGCCAGGCTGGGCTTTAGTTGGTGGTCCTCCTGGCTCAGCCTCCAGGGCTCTGGGATTATAGGCATGTGCCCCTATGACTGATTTAATTTTTCCTGTCTAAAAATGAATATACTTTCTAAGGTACATGTGTGTGTGGTTTTTTTATTGCATCCAGGCAAGAGAATGACCCTCCCCCCCATTTGTAGTGATCCTCCTGCGTCAGCCTCCCCAGTACAGGGATTTCAGGCATGTGCCACCACACCCAGCCTTAGGGCATGCACGGGGTTCTGGGGTGGCACTGCATATGGTACTGGGGGTCAAACCCAGGTCCTTGTGCTTGTCAGGCAGGCTGTTAGACTTACTGCGCCATCTCCCCAGGGCCTAGAGAGGGAATTAATTTTAATTGTGATTCAGACATTATATAAATATTTCATAATTAAATTTTCACATATTAAAGACATACTTTTCTTTTTCCTTAGACTTGTGTGCGAGACAGAGCCATTCTTTCTATCCTGGCTGTTAGGAATATCAGCAGAGAAATGGCTGAGAAGGCCGTTGATGAAGTTTTTGAATCTTGTTTCAATGACCATGAGCCTTTTGGCAGGATCCCACATAGCCAGACTTATGCAAGATATGCTCACAGAGACTTCCAAAACCGTGATCGGTACTACTCAAATATATGAAGGCAGTGAATCTTGTATCATAGCACCTCAGTGATCGTGAAGAAGCAAATGCGGTTCCTAAGGGACAGATGCGTAAAATGTCGATGATCAAGTACATACGCTACCTGGAGTATGCTGACCTTAGCACATGATCAGAAAAAGTAGGTGGGGCAAAAGGTGAGACAGTCTTAAGCTCCAAGGCAAAAATGGTAACTGTAGAGTATATCTATATGTACTTTACTTGACAAATAAGATATATAAATTACATTTTATATTTTCTACAGTATATTTTTGTTTTTAATATTTATATTGTTACTGTTTTTATTACTTGTGGTTATTCAAAATTTGGTTGTGAAAACTGAAATCTCTTGAATGTTGGTTGGTAGTTGGAGTTGATTTATTTACATTAAATAAAAAGAGACATGAACTGATTTACTGTAAGATATTCGTTGGGATATCTTGAGCAACACATGGAAAGAATAAAAATTGGGCTAATTCATTAATGATCATTGTCAATTTTTCCCTGTTCTTTCAATATATATATATGGGCATGTATGGCTTAATTTTATGGGGGACCATCCTGATTTTTTTTTTTTCTCTTTATGTTATGTATCTGGTACAGGGTTTCACTATGCAGCTCGGACTCATGGTGATCTTCCTGTTCTCAGCCTCCCCGGCGCTGGGATGACAGGCATGTACTGCCATGCCTGGATTCAGTTGCAGCTCAGTGTGCCCAGTGGGGCAGGGCTGGCACAGCATGGGGAGCCAGGGATTGAACCCTGGTCCCTGCGCTTGCCAAAGCAGGTGCTTAGTCTGCTGAGCTATCTCGCCGGCCCACTGATTTCTTTTCTTAATAAAGATACATTAAATTCGTATTTTCAATCAGCTTTTATTGGTACATTTTAGATATACATAATGATCACATTCATCATAGAGAATTTATAGCTGTACACAGTATATCTTTTCTTCCCTGTTCCCCTATCCTCGCTTCAACCTCTCCTTCCCTCCTGCCTTTCCAGAAGCTTTGTTTTTATTTATTTTTTTCTCATTAAAAAAAATTTCCTGGGGCTGGTGAGATGGCTCAGTGGTCTAAAGCACCTACTTAGAACAAGCTTAGCAAAGCACAGGGACAACGGTTCAATCCCCCAGCACCACATGCCAACCAGCCCCGCCCCCTGGTGGGCTGAGCTGGCCACACACACACACACACACACACACACACACACACAAATAAATAAATGCATTTAATAAAAAAAATTCCCTTCTTTTCTTGACCCTCACTTCTCTCTTGTTTCTCTCCCCATTTGAACATTTTATTCTTACTTTGTAAAAGTTACATTGAATTTATAACACAATTTAGCTTAATTTTTATATAAGATTTTCCACATAGTTGTTTCAGATCTTTTGTCAGGCTCTGCACTAGACTTTTGGATTCAGCAAATAGCAACATCTTACCTGTACCCTGTAACAGACATCACCTGCATTTTCCACCTGCTCCTGGAAACATATCACTTGGATTGCGTCTACACTTAAGTGGACGATACCAGCATGTCACAGCTGATTAGCACTTTGAAGAAAAAGCAGTTCGCAAGATACTGTCTTTTGAAGAAATTAAAATTTGATTAAATACAAATTATGAAGTGCTGCCTCAAGCCTAAACTTATCAGACAGTCAGAGCAAGGTTTGAAAGTTACAGGGAGGAAACGGTAGGAAACATCAAACCTGTCTCCCCCCGAGGCAGCACACACACATAATAGACTCTGTCTGAGGTAACCGTTTTGGAACTTGAATTCTCTAAAGGCTTGCGACTTCCAGGGAAAAGCTTGGATGGTGAGTTATGGATCATTTCAGTCAATGTCAGGCTTAGCCCAGTAGCAACTGCTGATCGCCATTCCCTAGTTCTAAGCAGGTGGCTATTCATGCACTCCTGGAGACACTGGCCCAGAGCTTCAGGAGGCCAGAGGGAACAGAAAGGGGCCTTGTTCTCCAACTCTCAGGGATCTGGGCTCTGAGGACTCACTGCATCCAATGATGGACACCCACTGCTATACTTCCCGTATTGCTGCACTCCACCCCTGTTCCCCCCACTGAAGTGACTGGAGGTTTAACAGGCTGTATTCCCCACTTTATTTTCTCTCTTTTTGGGTCTCAGAGATTGAAGACTAGAAATTAAAAAACAATGTCATGCACCAGGGAAATAAAGCCACTGAATATGCCCAGAGGAATGCACAGTTTCAGAAAGAGATGAAGTTTGTCCTTCAGGTTAATCAGTACATGGAATGCTTACATGTGCGCAAGCAAACCAGCACGTCCCAAAGAAAAGGATAGTCTGGTTTCCACATTATGGACTTCAGATGTCCTGTTTTCAACAAAAGTCATGAGACACAGAGAAACAGGAAAGTTGTCTCATTCAAGGGAATAAAATAAAAAAATAAAGAGGAATTGTACCTGAAAAAGACCTGATTATGTATTTACTAGGGGATGGCTGGTAAAAGAGACAAGCATGTCACTATGGTTCCTGGGCTGGCTTCACACTCTTGTACTCAAGTGATGCTTCTGCCTCAGCCTCCCGAGTAGTGGAACCCAACAGGTGCATACTGCTTACTTGGTTTAAGACAGAAATTTTAAATAATGGTCTTAAAGATGGTCAAAGCATGAAGGAAAGCCTGGAGAAAGTCAGTAAAACTGAGTGGCAATATTATAGATAGAAAATCTTAAAAAAAAAAGCTTGATGTGGTGTAAAACTAGCACTCTGGTAGGCTGAAGAAGGAGAATTACAAATTTGAGCCTATCTTGGGCATTTAGGGACTTACTGAGACCCTGCCTCAAAATTTGAAAGAACTAAAAAAAAAAAAAAAAAAAAAAAAAAAAAAATTGAAAGAACTGAGGGTGTAGATTAGTGTGCAGGCCCGCGGGTTTAATCCTCAGTATTAGAGAGAAAAAAGAAGAATATCTAAAGCTGAAAAGTACAGTAACTGAAATAATAAATTCACTAGAGGGATTAAAGGCAGATTTGAGAAGGCACGAAAGAGAATCAGTGAATACGAAACAGGGCCACAGAAATTAGTGAGTCTGAGGAACAGAAAGGAAAACTGAAAGAGAAGTGGATAGAGCCTAATGGCCCTATCAAAGGGACCAGCATATATTTGCTGGGGTCTTGGAGAATATTTAAAGAAATAATGGCCGAAAATTGCCTAAATTGGGTGAAAACATGGTCATTAACATTTAATAAGCTTTGTGAGCTCCATGTAGGATGAATTCAGAGATGTTAAGACAGTACAATCAAACTACCTAGAGCCTGGGGAGGTAGCTCAGAGGCATAAGCTCCTGCCTAACAAGCGCAAGGTCTCCAGTTCAGTCACCAGTAGTGCTTGCAAAATGCAAAAACGAAAGCTGTGCAGCTACACCCAGCTCAAACTGTCTAAAGACATAATTTTGAAAGCAGAAGTGACTCATCACATGCAAGGGGTTCTAAATAAGGTTATTATTATTATTTTTTGTGTATTTAGTACAAGGTCTACAGTGTCTCACTGTGTAGATCAGACTCGTAGTGATCTTCCTGTGTTCAGCCTTCCAAGCGCTGGCATTATAGGCACGTGCCATCATGCCCAGTCTCAACTGCAGTCTCAGCGCATCTCGGGGCGGGGCTGGCACATGCATGCCGAGGATCGAACCCCAGCCCCTGCGCTCTGCCTAAGCAGGCTCTTTAGTCCTCTGAGCTATCAGGCTGGCTCTCTAAATAAGGTTATAATCAGGCTGGTGCTTATACCACTGAGCTATCTCCCTGGCCCTAGTCAAGAATTCTATATGTGGTAAGATTACCCTTTAAAAGTTTGTGCAGTTCAGGTTAGCCTTGAGCTCACTTTGTAGGCTGTGCTGGCTTCAAAGTTGTGGCAGTCCTCCTGCCTCAGCCTCCCTAGTGCTGGGATTACAGAGGTGCACCAACATGCCCAGAAATCTAAATTCAAGTTAGAATGTTATAATCTTACGATCTTAAATGTTGTCTTCCTATGTAAGGGAAATAAATATATACAAAAAGTGGAAATGTTAAAGGAGTTTAAAATATTTCACTTAAAAATCAAGTAAACATAAAAGAAGATGGTAAAACAGGAAGTAAAACAAAAGTACATGCAGTGCTGCCTGGCTCATGAGTGCTTGTGTTCGCAGACAGTTTGGTTTGCAAACAGAACTGCTAGGCAAGATTTTGTTTCCCCTACACACAGATGCAACTACCTTCCCCCAAATTGTAAAAGAAACTAAACTCATAAGCTGAGGCAGCACTGTAGTTTACACTACACAGAAAACAGAAATGGCGGTGATTCCTGTCCGCAGTTACTGTCGATGCAAGCGTGTGAAACTGGCAAAAGAGATCTTCAGAAGAATCCCAAAGCACGCTGTCTGCAGGAAGTGGCTTTATATCCAGAGCTACAAATTGACTGAGAGTGAAAGGATGGGAAAGGATAGTCTCTGCAAGTAGTAACTAAAGGAGAGCAGGGTGCTCACACTAAACATCCGAGCCAGCTTCAAACAAAGTGACAAGAGACTAAGAAGGACATTGTATATTAATGAAAGCTTCAATGCAGCAAGAAAATATAATTATAAACATTTATGAGCTGGGGAGATGGCTCAGTAGAATAAGCACATGCCTGGCATGCATAAGGGCCTGAGTTCAATCCCCAGTTCCACCAAAAAAACCTCAAAAAACCCCCCCAAAACCCCCAAACAGATATAAACATTTATGTACCTAATGATGGGATATCAAAATATGTGAAGCAAAAATTGACAGACTTAGGGTACAAACTGTCCTATGATAACACTTGGCGAGTTCAATAATGAACAGACCAGCCAGACAAAAGACAAGTAAGGAAATGGGCTCAAACAGCTTCTGCTCCTGTTAGTAGGCTGCCACTGGTGGTGTCCTCAGGTCTGAAGTCTCCTTCCCTGCAAGCCTAACTGCCTATCACCTCTTCATGCCTAGGTTGTGTGCCATACTGTTATCCCCTAATCCCCTGACACTTCTTCTTTGGGGTAGTTGTTCCTATAGTAACAAAGACCCCATTAGTGTTGACCACTCCTGAGTCCTTTGTGCCTATATAGCATGCCATAGTGAGTGGTTGATAAATACTTGCTGAATAAATGCAGTACCTCTATGTCCCCTCTTATTAATTCCCTCTTCAAGCAGTGTTTGAGAGGATGAGCTGTAGCTCTCACAGTGGGCTAAATTCAGCCTCTTTACTCTTATGAGGCTCCTCAGGGTCTTCTCCTTAGGGAGACTCTGGCTGCAGGAAAGGTAGAAATTAGCGCACGGCTGAAGGGGTGCCAGAGGAGCAGCACCAGACTCACAGAGTACATGGTTAAAGACTGGGGCAGATCAGTCAGACAGTAGCTGCGCAGACTTAGAAATAAAGTTACTCTTAGAGATGGCTGCTCCAGCCATTGTGTTCTGACAAGTTTGCCTAGGACACCATCTATACCTTCCCTTTCCTCTGCCCAAAACTACACCAACATTTTTCTTCTTCACCTTTGTTCTTACATCCTTGGGG